AAGGAAATAAGTCTTGAACTATTAAAAAGACCTAAAAGAGAACAACTTATATATAGAGATCTCTTATTCTATAAGTTGTATTACCAGCTTGAAGGGGTCCTTTTGGGATCAAGTTATTATCAAACTGCTGAAAAAATGTGGGATGCTTGTAAGAAGATCAGATATAAGTTTACTCTCGCAAAAGTCAAAAACTGGCTAAACAAACAGGCTATATATCAGATATACAAGTCTCCACTGAAGATTATAGCCTGATTAATGATAGCCTGAAGCAGTGATCATCAGTTTGGACGAATTTCTGTGTAATGATATAATGGCTGATCACATAATAGGTCTGTGCGATATTTTCGCATATTAATTTCACATATATATTCGCTAACTAGTACCTTTATTTTTTTCTGAACAAATGTGAGAAAATGTGAAAGGAGGTCTAGTTTCAACATAGGACTTACCGTAAAAGTAAATACTGATAGCAAAAGCATATGCTATGAAGGGTTGAGAACTTTGTAATTTCGAGATCTACAAGAACTAACTATCTTTGCACCTCTCCGGTAGATCTATATGTGAAAAGGTATGAGAATTTCATTTGCATGTGCTTTCAAGGGACTCTTAGCATCAGACGACAATACTAATTACGCCTCATACCTCCTTAACTTCAGCTTGGTGCTCTTTTTCCCAGCAAGATATAAAGCATATAGGAGTATGTGAAAGTTTAGCCAACTTTTCGCAAAAACCTTTTCCAGAGAAAATAACGCAAAATAAGGTATGTATATGCCAGAAGTTATATGGTGGTATCTCACTTATATATTTATGGAAGTGAGTTTTTCTCACTATGGGACATTATATTTAGGAAAGCAAGATGATGGATACTGATTATTTAGAACTCACCATTAAAGCTGAGGACGATAAATTTTTAATCAGTACTTTTCAGACTTCTGGTGTTAATGGACTCAAAATCGAAATTGAAAAACATGTCAATACCCCTAAATTTAATCTCTATAAAAATAGCGTACACCCAAAAAATCTTATGAAAACAAACAAGTCACTTGGTGAATATTTTAATATTGAAAAAGATAATCCAACGGTCATTATGCATCCCACCATCCCAAAAACTCCTTCTAGCAAATAATTAGTATTTTTATTTGTATCATGTAATAGCGCTATAGTCGAGCGAAGCGCCTTAACGGCCAATTTTTATGTATTGTAGGCCGACTTCCGACAAGATTTTTTTTATTTTTAAATAAAGCATATATTATGTTCTTGTCGTAAATCTTGAAAAATATCACATGTAATGAACTAGTCCGGAGCAGTGATCACCAGCTCGGAAGAATTTGCTGGGCCATACATACTGCTAATGCCTTATTTTTTCGATTGGATATTTACAAGTAATGACCTGTAAAGCGAGAAAAATCAATAAATTATTTGGGTATAGATATGACCCTGTAACTCTGAAAAAAATTAAAGGTATACTGGGATATATGGTTCAGCGGGTCACCTGTAGCGCTAACAAAATTTCAAGGCTCACTAATCCTCAAATCGATTATATTATAGAACAAGTCAAATCAAAGACAATCAATAGTCCTGTGAACAAAATCTCCGAGACTGTGGCTACTACTTCAGCTAATGACCCGGTCCTAGAGAGACCCCCCAACTCAAATGATAATTTTAGTGATACCTCAGATGTTACAGATTATTTTAAGGAAGAAGGAAGGACAAATGAATCGACTGAAGTAAGTGTTCTAACTATGTTCATACCTGAAGAAAATTCATCCTTATCAGCCGAAGAGAAGGATTATCTATTGACTAAGAGACCGCTTATTGGGATACACCATACGAGGCTGGGATAGAGAAAGAGAATAAAACATCGACAAGTGTAGTAACCCCAGCATCGCGAGCTAAGACAGATATGTATTTTGATGAGGAGGAAGGAGAAACGAACGAAAGTGACAATGACTCTGACGCGAATGACTCAAACTCCAATGCCAATAAATCTGATTCTGATGTATATTTCAAATCCGATGACTCTGACTTTGACTCCAATGATGAGTATGATCACGAACTTCATGAAAGGCTTACGCCTGAAGAAATGGCAAGAATAGCAAAGTTAGAGGATAAAACACCAACTAAACCTGAGGTAAATGATGACAATTTTGATAAAATGCTCTCAGAAGCTATCGAGGAAGAATTGGCATATTTTGATAATCCCGCACCTCAGTCGGTGAAAAAAAAACGAATAGAAAGGTTGTTTCGCAATCAGGGGGAGAAACAAACGAAAGTAAGTTAGACAATAACTCTGATTCTGATGATTCTGAAAAAAAGATGCCAGATAAATTGGACGATGATAGGTATAATGGATACGGTGGATATGATGAATATGATGAATGTGATAGAGGTTATTATTATCGTGACGGAAGATATGAAAGGAAAGTCTCACCAATGATGAGTCCTATTATATCTCCGATATCTGGCTAGGAGAATTATTAGGTGGATTGTAGACCGAATTATCATATAGGTTTATTTTTTTTTCAGTCAAATCGAGATCAGCAAATTAATAGACATTAGGGTTGCCATAATTGTTCCATGTTTTGCGACGATCGTAGTATCTGGGAGCGACAGTTCCACAGTATTACATTTCGCAAAATCAATCTACGATTTGTCAATTAACTTCTAACCCGAACACAGTAAATTTTCCCAACTGTCAAAGCTATTCTGGCTTCCTGTGATCCGAATACTTCACACCTTGGCTTGTTTTGAAGCTCTCGGTGCCCTGCATCTGGTCGAATTGGTTTGAAGTTTCGATAATAGCTGGAGCACGTTTCGTAAGTGGTTGAAGTTTCAATACTTATATAGTGCAAATAATACATTAGGGGACTCACTGGGTAGCTATGAATTCTTACATAACAACCTATCAATTTCTCACCTCCTTTAGGTTCCCAGGATCAAAAACTAGTATTTTGTAGGTTCCCAGATCATCATCATTTCTCACACCACTTTGGCAATGTTACCTCCACAAGATTCATTCGTGATATGTCTAAAATAATTGACCTTACGATTTTCTGAATAA